AGTTATCAATTTGTATCTGTAATATATCTGTATTCTGTATTTCTAGCTGTTCATAGAGGTAAACGACCTATTCTTTATGGGCGATTTTTCCGGTTCTGCCTCTCTCTCACTCTCACACATACTTGTCGGGTTGCTTTCACTATGGCGAGTAGCCTCTAAGCCAATAATTCGTTACTATTCTTACGAAGAATACTTTTAGATTTCATCTGACCAATTTCGACTACAGTACTGTTGTTTCATTACAAACATATATTTATTGTAATAAATAAATAATTTCAAATCAGTATGTCTATTGTTACACATGCAAAACTGGTTTGGATTACAGTTTTTGCATCATCGATGCTGGTATTAATAACGTTCATATGAAGTACTTACATAGTGCACTTACCGAGGTGTGCACTCGCTTGGTTAAAATGGAAACAGACTGTTCAAAAATCGAGTTCCGGGTTTGGAGCGTAAAATACGATGGCATTCCTCTACGTCTTGCGCTGGACTTTTCGCACATATTTGTAACGCTTACTACGTGATAACAAGAAAACTGTGATTGGCAAGGGCGTTTTGTCCTCGCGGAATTGCACCCCCCCCCCATTTTATAGGACCCACACAAAAAAAACTGAGGAAAGCTACGATGGAATTGTTCGGCACGAAGACTTTGACCAGATGTTGATCTATACTGTTTTACGAACAGATTAAGTTCGCTCCTTTTTCAGCAGGTGAGATAGAGACACCGTATACAGCCACTATTCGCCGAGAGAGTGTATGTAGGGGCTCATTTACTCAATAGTGGAAGAAAAAACAAAAGAAATGGCTGTTTCCTAACAAAACCCCTCTGGCTAGAAAAGATTTCCGGGCCTAAATGTCTCATGCCATGAAATCGATACGATAGCCGTCTCTGTGTATCCTCTGACTTTCTGATATCGTCTCACTTAACCGAGGCGGTGATAAGACGGATGGAATTAGCTCACCCGCAGCGTCTTCGTCAGAATTCAATTCCTTTCTGAAGCGTTGACCAGTCGATTACTGTTGATAGAGAAAGGCAGCCAGAGGCGGGCTTTTTCCGCCCCTCCCAAGACCGCTCCGACTAATTGCGATGATATGAACTCTACAGTCACTCCTTCAGCACTGAATGCCGTTCACCTCTCGAA